GTTCAATTCAAAAGATAACCAATTATTTCCCTTGGGCTTAATTTTAAGGGATAAAGTACAAATAAGCCACTGAATTATTTGGGAGAAAACAATTAAGCTACTGAACTCAAATAACCCCCAAATAAGCCATTGAACCGAGAAAAAAAAACAATGAACATTTTTAACAGGTTAACTCCAGGTTTTTGTTGACTGAATTGCCAAATGTTTATTTTATTTTTCACTTTTTAATCCAAGCTCCATCTCTGACTTCATTTTCACTACAAGAAAAATGTTCATAGAAAAATGTTCATCTCTAACTTTTGGGATAACTAATGAAGAACAATTTCTATTACTGCTCCTTCTGTTACATATGTAGGAAAGGTCATAGGTTCAAAACTTCAGAGGTCATAGGTCATAGGTTAAGTGGTTATAAGTAAATGATAAAAGTATATTAAATTGAGAGGTCATAGGTTCATAACTTTTTATAAACAAATATTTTAAACTTAAATCAATTAAAATATATTTCAATAAAAATAATGTACGCTAAATGGGCCAACCCGTGTAATCCACGGGTTGGCCCGTTTGAACCCATGTAACAGTCGGGTTACACGGGTTGGGCCCAATTTGGGCCGGGTCGAAAAGTGCATGACTCAATCTACTTAAAAAGTGGGTTAAACGGACCCAACTCGACGGGTAAAAAATGAACTACAAACAGAAAAAGTTGAAGACTCCTTTTTAATCAATAACCACTTCTCTGATACAAGGACGGGAAAAGAATTCTCTGATACAAGGACGGGAAAAGAATTGTAGCTTAGGTATCAACCATCCAACTAGTTATATAAAATAAAGACTAAACACATTTTAACAGTCTGATATAACCATACCACAACAGCCATCCAAAGAATCCAAGGCAGAAGAGTTGTCTTCAAGAAAAGAGAAGCATGAACTCTCTTTTGTTGTTAAATCAATCAAAATGAAGTCCAAACAAATCCAATTACCCTTTCAAAATAAGGTGTTGAAGAAAAGTAAAAGACTACAAGCAAAGACAAAGAAGTAGACACACCCACGATTCCTCGACGTTGATGGATATAGAATGTATGTTACTTTTTTGTTAACACAATTTTTTGCAACATACCTCTTTGTAGTATGGTATTCCTCAATTTTCTTTGAATTGTGATTTTAAAGCATTATTCAATAATATTGATAGGCTGTCAACAGCCCTTGTTTTAACAACACACAATAGAAAAATCGTTATCTTATATAAAAAACACTATTGTCGCATAATGCTTTCAACAACATTGGTTTCATTAACACTTACTAGACAACAATTTTTAAAGGTAGGTTATCTTTACTGACAACGGTCTATGCGCAGGTAGAGCTGTCAAAACGGGCCCAACCCAACACTCGTCGGATTAGGCCCGCTTAACCTACTTTTTAAGTGGGTTGGGCCATGCAATTTTCGGCCCGACCGGATTGGGCCTAGCCCGTGTAACTCGACTGTTACACGAGTTCAAACGGGCCAACCTGTGGGTTACACAGATTGGCCCGTTTAGCCTACATTATTTTTATTTTTATTTAAATATATTTTTAATTTAATTGATTTAAGTTTAAAATATTTGTTTATAAGAAGTTTTAAACCCATGACCTCTCAATTTAATATAATTGTTTTATCATTTACTTATAACCACTTAGCCTAATACCACTCATTATTTCTATTGTTTCCTACATATGTAACAATGGAGCAGTAATAGAAATTGTTCCTCATTAGTTATCCTAAAAGTGAGATGATCATTTTTCTTGTAATGAAAATGAAGTCAGAGATGGATTTTGGATTAAAAAGTGAAAAATAATCACATAAATACTTGGATTTCATGGCCAAACTCCTGCAATACTGATGCAAAACTGATCATCAACTCATGCCAAGTTGGATCATATAAAAGATGTGTAAATACCTACATATAGAATAGAATTAATATAACGAATTAATAATTAAGATTAAGATGCAAAAATAAATTATCAATCAAAGAAGAATTTAAAAAATAAAAAATGAACCCTAGCTTACCAAATCAATTTTGAGGTGTGCAGTTCTTAATCGGAAAAACTTATGACCACGCTTGAAGTAAGGCTGGTGCGAAGGAGAACTCTCGTAGGGAAGAACGAGAGGAGGAAGGGGGGTTGGGAAAAGCCGGAGAAGGAATGGAGGAATTGGGAAAAGCCGGAGAAGGCACAAAGAAGTTGGGAAAAGCGAGAGAAGGAACGGCATAGTTAGGAAAAGCGGGAGAAGGAACGGCGTAGTTGGGAAAAGCGAGAGAAGGAACGTCGTAGTTGGGAAAACCCGGAGAAGGAACGGCGTAATCGGGAAAAGCGGGAGAAGGAATAGCAGAGTTGGTGGGAAAAGCTGGATAAAGAACGGGACAAACGGAGTTGAGGAAGGGGTGTAACTTATACAGTGACAGTGCGCCAATTGTTGAAAGGGATAGGAACAAAAAAGAACCAGCCTTAATTCTTTGAGCGTAAGCCGCCAGGGGATTAGGAGGCGGCGGGGTAAGGTATACTAGAGAACTTATGAACACTGGATCATACCGATAGGACTCAATGACACAATCATTACTCTTATTTCTAAGAAATATGAATAAACCAAACAGAGGACCTTCGAATGTATTTGGGGGTTCTAGCTATTCACAAGAGAGTTCACAAAGGCATTTTAGTTCAAATGGTGGACATAATCAACGAGATATTAGAGGGGTGGAAGGCAAAAATGATATCTTTCGTGGGAATGTGTGTTCTTGCTCAAAGTGTCCTTACCTCAATATCAATTTATGCCATGCAGTCCATTTGACTTCCAACGGGAGTGTGTGATGAGATTGAAAGGAAAATCAGGCAGTTTCTCTAGAGCGGAAGCAAGGTTGGCTTTCGTTTTCATTTAGTTAAATGGGAGACCGTTACTAGGAGTGTTGTGAAGGAGGGTCTTGGCTTTAGACGTACAAGGGAATAAACATGGCTTTCTTGGTCAAGTTGGGTAGAGGCTTAAAAAGAAGGAGTCTCTTTGGGCCTCTGTTATTCCCCCCCCCCCCCCCCTCCCCTCCAAAAGAGAGAGAGAGCAAGCGAGCAAGCTTGATATCACTGAATGGTGCGAAAAGCAGGGGTGCTCAAACCTATGGAGAGCGATTGTCCGAAGAAGTAGTGTTCTTCATGGCGAGGTGTGAGCTAGTATCCAAGGGAGAAACTAGTAGAATACCGATGAGTTATCGATCACAATGGCTTATGAGGCAGCTATTTGGGAGGAAGGTGTTTCTACTAACAAATATTGGACTACTATCTGGAATCTGAAGGTCTCGAGTAGGATTTGTGTGTTCCTATGTTACTAAAACATGGGGAAGTGATTACTAATGGTGATAGATTTTGACGAGGTCTTACTGCAAATGATACATGTAAGACTTGCTGAGAGAGGAATGAAGACAGATATCATGTCTTTAGGAGTTGTAGAGAAGGTGAAGACATTTATAAAATCTTCCTTTCCAAAGGAGAAAGACAAAGACTTGATAACCTTCATTTTGACACTTGGCTATTAGTTAACATCCAGGGAAAGGTTTGGAGTAGAACTAAAAGGGATTGGGGGATCACGTTTGCACTCACATTTTGGTGGTTATGGAGGTGGAAGTACGAGAGGACTTTTGGTGGTAATGTTTGGAGTCTCCAATAAAGAGTGAAGTGGTTAAAGAAACATGAAGATGACACTCTAAGAGCTTTCGCTAGGGCATTTGTCCCGATGGGAGTTCAGGGAAGCTTTGTTAACAAACAGCTGAAATGGCAGCCCCTGACATATGCGAGGGTGATTCTTAACGTGGATGGATGTTTTAGGGAAAGTGACAATCATGCTGGATAGGGTGGGGTGTTTAGGTACAATATGGCCATATGGGCATTGGATTGCGAGATGTGCTCGGAGGTTTCAGGCTACAAATCCTTTTGAAGCAGAGATGGAGGCTTTGGTGATGGGGATTCAACAGGCCAAAAGCAAACGGTTTTATGATTGCAAAATTCAGACGAATTGCGGGGGGATGGTCAAGGCCATGCATGGGAACAACGGGGGAAGAAGTCAGCATGATGATTTTGTGGAGTGCTACAGGAAGATGTTTGCAGATGATTATGGTGGCAGTATCTTTCATGTCTACTGTGAGTATAATACTGCCTCTGATAGCCTAGCAAAGTTGGCACTCTCTAGAAGTGCCGAATGGATGGAATTTGACAAGCCTCCTCCGGGTTGTAGGAGCTATGTTTGCACCAATCAATTTAGCAGTGTTTGGTCACCGTGTGTTTTAGATTTGAGCTAATGCTTCTTTTTGTCTAGGTAGCCCCCCTTTCACTTCTAATAACAACAACAACAACAATAACAACAAGAATAATACGGAGTAATAATAATAACTAATGATAAATTATGACTTGTTGCAAGGAGTGAAGCTACATAGTTCTTAAAACGATCATTATTACATGGACTGTGGTCAACACAACACGGTCCAAAAATATATAAAGTACATTATTCTAATTCATAAAATACATTATTTTACACCAAAAATTTTATTCTAACAAAGAAATTGCATTATTCTAACACATAAAATACATTATTCTAACTCATAAAATATACGGAGTAATATCTTACCCATAAGGTTCATTATTCTAAACACATAAGTACAACAAGCACGAATTTTTAAACATTAAAATAACACCGTTTTGAACCGTGATCCACACAACTATGTGAAAATAATTTACCCTCTTAAAATCACTATCTGGTTTTATTGTTTGAAATGGACGGTCGTTCAATTCAAAAGATAACCAATTATTCCCCTTGGCATAATTTTAGGACTTCTACTAAATCTTCTCCCTGATGTGGCGAGCATTGATATGCTATTTTTTTTCATGTGACTCCCAATACAAATGTCTATTACAAACTTTTGTGTATAAAAGTAAAAATTAGACTATAAAGTGAAATTACACATATTATATTATTTTTCTAATTTTAAAGAGTAGGGTTATACGAATAGCATTTTTCCTTTCCATAATACTTTGGAATGAAGTGACTTTAACGGAATCAACAACCGTCAACATTTAAGCTTCCTTTGCTTTTGCCTTCTGGGTGTTGCCACTTGCCAGTTGCCACCGCCGCCACGCAATTCCTCCATCGCCACCCCCATGACCTCTACTCTTCCTTCTTCTTCCCCCTGGCCTCCCCTTAACCCTACATCTCCCCCATTCATGGCTGACAATTCTGCTCCCGACGCCGACGACCGCTCCCCGCTCTCCGACCTCTCCGATATCTCATCCGCCGTCACGTCCGCAGCCGCCGCCGCCGCCGCCGCCGACGACGACCGGCGCTCCCAAACCTCACCACCGCTCACCACCGCAACTACACATAATTCTAACCCTAACCCTGTTTCTCCACCCGTTGATTCCTTTCCCCCTTCCCTCCTCCACCTCTCCTTTAACCAGGACCACGGCTGCTTTGCTCTCGGGATCAATCGCGGCTTCCGAATCTATAACTGCGATCCTTTCCGAGAGATTTTCCGCCGCGACTTCTCTAATACTGGCGGAGGCGGTGGAATTGGGGTAGTTCAGATGCTCTTCCGATGTAATATCCTAGCCCTAGTCGGTGGAGGTCCGGAGCCGCAGTATCCTATGAACAAAGTAATGATCTGGGACGATCACCAGTCCAGGTGCATCGGCGAGCTATCATTCCGGTCGGAGGTGAAGTCGGTCCGGCTCCGGAGGGACCGGATTGTGGTCGTTCTGGCGCAGAAGATATTCGTATACAATTTCGCGGATTTGAAGCTGTTGCATCAAATAGAGACTGTGGTAAACCCTAAGGGATTGTGTGAAGTCTCGCATGTGTCAGGGTGTATGGTGCTAGTTTGCCCTGGATTGCAGAAGGGGCAAGTTAGGGTTGAACATTATGCTTCCAAGAAAACCAAGTTTATTATGGCACACTCCTCCAGGATAGCCTGTTTTGCACTCACAAACGATGGGAAGATGCTTGCAACTGCAAGCAGTAAAGGGACTCTCGTCAGAGTGTTCAATACTTTTGAAGGATCAATGTTGCAAGAGGTATACCATATGTTAACTATGAATGAACATCTTTTCTGCTAAGGATGTTACTAATTGTGCTATGATGTGCTCTGATACTATGTTATAATCTAAGAAGTAAAAACTGAATCCAATTAGTTTGTCGAATTCATGGCTTTATAAATCAATATGTTCTATCTTATATTTAAGAGGAAATAACATTTGCAGATACAAGGTGCTAAGATCTACCATGTATGTAAAGAATATGGAGTAATATTTTTAATTCCAAAAAATAACAGGATAGCTAGACTTAGACTAAGGATTAAGGCCTCAATTCAATAAGGTTGCATTAGTTTTAGAGTTTAACTCAAAGAGAATTATAGATATAATTATTTCTCTAGCTCAAGCACTTGCTAGGAAATGATGCTTTTGTGTAGAGAAATTCATTGGTTGAAATCATGTATATACATACATGCAAAATCATCCTCCTACTTTAGTTCGTTTTTTGCTGATTTTCAAGGTACATCAGAGCTTGGCGTTTTGAATAAGATTTCTCACTTGACTTGTTTTAGTTGGGCTATTTGCTGTTCGCGCCTCTTTTCTGTGGGTCATATAGTTTCTGGTACCATCATCCTACATGATTTTCGAGTTGAATATATAAACCTTTTTCAGTTGAGTTTTATGTCAATATTATGATTTATGCTAGTTAAGTTAATTGTCCAATGTACTGGTTTTCCCTCAATAATCACCTTCGAACATTGTTTTATCAAATTAGAAGCAGGACATGTTTCAAAATCTATGTGCCGTAAATTAATATGTTGCAGCAAAAGCAACGCACTTCGAACAGTTTTGAATTTTTGAATTGTCGCTCATTGAACAATCATTATGAGAATATTCTCATTTTATTCAATGTAGGTTAGGAGAGGTGCAGACAGGGCAGAGATTTATAGTCTTGCTTTTAATTCAACTGCCCACTGGCTAGCTGTTTCAAGTGATAAAGGAACCGTTCATGTGTTTAGCCTAAAGGCTGATTTAGAATCAACAGGAGTTGAGAAAGCTCATGATCCATCTGAAACGAAAGAAACTACTTCACCAGGTGTTTCACAGCTCTCCTTCATCAAAGGTAATATTAGCATATGAATATTCTAATTGTTTGTTAAATGTAATTCTATAAGGTACTCCAAAATGGATCTGCAGAGTGCCAAAGTTTCTTTTATGGATAAAGATTTTGTCCCTAATTCATTGTCAAAAGTAATATGACCTCAGTAGGTAATGATATGACCCCTTTGTGGTCGACAACTCTTTAACCTGTGAAATTAATGATGTGAGACATGTAAACTTGTTTAACCTGGAAAAGTTAAATAATCTGCACCCCTGCAGTATTAAAACTTTTTGAGCGTTTAATCATGCAGGTGTGCTACCAAAATATTTCAGTTCCGAGTGGTCTGTTGCCCAGTTCCGCTTGCAAGAAGGTTTGCAGCATATTGTTGCCTTTGGCCACCAAAAGAATACCATTGTGATACTTGGCATGGATGGCAGGTATGAATATGCACATTATCACCAGAAACACTTGTGTACAATACAATTTTTGCTTTACCTCCTGGAAAATGTAAAAATGTTTTGGACTTTAAAAATCAAACTCCTATTCAGTGACCAGTGACCACTCTTCTCTAGATGTCTTCCATTATTTTTCTTTTTTGGTCTCTTGCCTGAGTGCCCATATTTACCAATTCTGCTTTGACCATGTGTATTGTTTAGTACAAACTCTGAAAACTTGCAATGCATAAATTATATTCAATTTTGAATTACTTGTGCCAAACTATAGGTTGACTCCAACTCTCATGATCCCTGCATATGTTTCCTTTATAAACTTCTATCACACTCAATCTTGTATAGTAAGAATTAGAAAGAGAATTGAGGCTGACTGTATTATTGGTTTGCCTGTAAATTGCAGTTTCTACAGATGCCAGTTCAATGCAGCAGAAGGTGGGGAGATGAGACTTCTTGAACATCACAACTTCTTGAAGCCTGAGGATAACAACTTCTAACTCGCACACAAAACATGCAGAGCATAGTTTTGTATTTATCTTTCCACAATTTCTATTCAACTGTAAAATATGCCTGCCAGACATAATTGGGACAGCTTGCAGTACTGTACTGGTTGGTTGTATATAAACTCTCTCTCTCTCTCTGCATAGTAGAATTTTTAAATTGTATATTAACTGTGCCCTAACAACATTTCATAGAGGCTGAAAAATTGTGTTTCTTGATTTCAACTACATATGACCCCAAACAGGGGCTCAGCCATGGAAAGTTGAGAGCAAGGAGAAAGCAGTAATTCCTCACATATTTGGATTGGCTTCTACTGGAATCACAGTCAATGTTACACAAACATTATTCCTTCTCTTTACAACTACTTTCAGTGGTTGTCCAATCCTATCATCCATGATATCAATAATCTGCAGAAAATTTTGACAAAAAATGGTATCAAACAGAGGCATGGTAAACTAAAACTTGTGCAAACAATCTCCTAAATGCATACCTCCTTGATGCTCCCAACAAGTTTTCCATCAAACTCTATCACAACATCACCTGGATGAAATCCAGCATGCTCAGCCGGGGAATCTGGAGTCACCTGATTCACAAAAATGATATTGATCCAACCTTAATCACAGATGTTCATATGATCTATAGATCAAGCCATGGCATGGGTGAAACATTGACACAAAAGAGCCTTGCCGGAACCCAAATACTTTGCATATCCTTTTGAACCAAAAAAAAAAAAAAAAGACAGGCAGCAAAACACAGACAGACAAGAAGGCATACCATGGGTACAAGAACACCTTGGTTGACATTTGGGAATCTAGAATCTTTTTCCTTAAGCTGTGCAACAATCATATCATTGAGATCAAGCATTTTTAAACCCAACCAAGGTCTAACAACACGCCTGAAATATCAATATCCATTATGAAATTATCACAAAGGTATGATAGATATAAATAAGTAATGGGACATATTTTGCTGGATCAGATAGGGGAGAAATCACATTTTTAACTAAGTGGATAATTCCATGACCAGAACATGATGAACATTTTACTTTCCTCAAGAAACGAAACAATAAAATGAAATTCTAAAACTCTTGTAAGAGACAACAATGCATTAAGGAAGCTGAGAAACATATTTTATACCCATTTTTTTTGAAGTGCTCAATAATCTTGGAAACTGAATCAATTGGCACAGAGAATCCCAAACCATCAGCTGCCAATACTTTCATAATATTAACACCAACTACTTCTCCATCAATATTTACAAGAGGTCCCCCAGAATTTCCCTGCACAGGATAGAAGACAATCTAATGTCATATAACAAAATTGCAACATATATACAGTATACTGAAAGCAATATGACAATACATCACCACCCCCAATATATATATAAACCTACTGCAAATGGTGTTCATAAGTTCCTCTCTTGTCAAATCTTGGTCTGCACCCAATACCCAATCATCTAAGGCCTCAATTGTAAATCTATAATGGTAAATTCTTCTGGGTACACATTTCAGTTCAAAATGAGTCAAAATTTCAATTTCAATTTCATTTCATTGCCTTAAAGCATCAATGAGAATCTCTCTTTCCTTTTTGAAAAGGTTCAATTTCATTTAATTTGCAAATTACAACCTCATACTCTCAAGATAAAGGGACAGGATCAAATGCTAATATCCATAGAGCACACCTCCTTTCAAAGTACCCTCACCAAAATGATAACTACAGTAAATTAATTCACAATGGCAAATACCTTCAAGTTCAGGAAGGAAATAGTGAACAGAAAGAACAAAAGAGTCAATATAATAGCATAACATCTAAACTAAGTGGTTGTATTCATCAACGCATCCAAAAATAAGCATCAACAGAAGTGATTACAGACAACCACAGTGGCTGAATTGGGATGAATTTTCTGCAGTTATGACCTCTCATTTTAGTGATCAAGTGAGTCCATCCTGTTATATGAGTCCGTGTGGATAGATCTAGGCCATTGAATGCTTGAGATCAATGGCTTAGATCTGGCCAACTGTGCAACGCGAACTGTGCAAGTGAAGTGCACAGTTGCACAGTTGCCATGCACAGTTGTGAAGTTGCACAGATGGCCATACCTAAGCCATTGATCTCAAGTATCCAATGGCCCAGATCTGTCCACACGGACTCATATAACAGAGTGAACTCACAGGAACACTGGCCTATATATATATATATATATATATATATATATTGTAACACTGCATTCATTATTGATTTGACAAGAGAGGTCCAATCAACCAATTGAGGAAGTATTATTTGTAGTTTAATGCTATACCCCCCTCTCGATTTCACCTTTGAATTTTTACCTCCTTAGCAATATTTGAGTTGGTTCGTTTTATATTTGATTGGACCTCTCTAGTCAAATCTATAATGAAGTATAAAAATGCAACATCACACCCAATATTTACTTTTATTTTTAAAAGCCTACAATAGCAAGAGGTCATAACTGCAGAAAATTCAACCCAATTCAGCCATTGATTTTCGAAAACCAGCAGTAATTAGTGTTTTCCTCCACAACACCAGTAGTACCTCCTTCCTATTCAAAATAACAAACACATTGAAAAGGTTCAATTCCATTTAATTTGCAAATGGTAACCTCATACTCTCATGATAAAGGGACAGGATCAAATGCTTATATCCATAGAGCATATCTCCTTTCAAAGTAACCTTCACCAACATCTAAATTCAATTTCCAATTACTGCTTCCAAATCCCCTTTGAAACATGACTTTTGGCCTATTGGACCCCCCCACCCCTTCCCTGCCTCCCAACACACACACCCAAAGAGAAAGGAAGAATAGCAAGCTAAAGCGAAAAAGTGTACAAGGTCATGCTAAAGTAGCTGAAATATGAGTATAATAATTAATGTTACCGCATTAATAGCGCAGTCAGTTTGTAAATACTCCCTCCTCATACCTCCAAGACCCAAGTCACTACTTTTACGATCAACACAACTGCATTGGAAGCAAGAAAAGGAAAACGGACTTGCATACGTAAGTATGGGTACAGTTTCACCACCAGAGCTATAATTAAGTGGATGCATTATGAGAAGCAAAAGTATATCATGCCAATAAACTCATTATTAAGTTTGAGCTCAAGAGATAAAATTGAAGACAGAGCACATATACAAAGAATCTTGCTGATATTAGACAGTAGAATATAAAGAAATTTCTTTAGCATCCCAATAAGAGTACCTTACAATGCCTGCTGTAACAGTATTTTGTAGTGAAAGGGGACAACCCATGGCTATCACCCAATCTCCAGGACGAAGTTTAGTTGAGCTACCAAGTTTTGCACATGGAAGTGGAGTTTTGGATTTTATCTTTACAATTGCAATATCAGAATGTAAATCAGCATTCTCCACTATACCCTCAAAAGTGCGACCATCTTGTAATGTCACATCAATCTGCAGAAAGTTAACACAGTTGATAAAATGATTAAATTGAATGAAATCTACAGAACTTAGGATGAAATTGACAAAAATATAAGACATAATACGCCAAGTGGTTAAAACATTGGGGTCAAATTTTCATTTTAGCAAAAAATATAAGCATATAACCAACTATCTTTTATAGCATAAAAATAAGGGGAAATCTTTTGGACGGTATGTAACTAAATGCATAAACCTGTTTTAAAATATTATTTAGGAGATACTGCAGACAAGACAGGAAATTACCTTCCCTTTTGAAGAGGGGCTCAACCCTTGAAAATCAACCACTACATGTGCACAAGTTAAAATTGTGCCATCTGCATCTATGATAGTACCAGATCCTATACTCTTTCCAACAGTCAATCCATGAAAACCTGAAAACAAAAGCAAATTCAAACTCTGGATGATTCTTGACAAGGTAGTTACAAATCCTGAAAAATACCCTTTGGAACTGACAAATTGACAACAGCAGGACCAGCACTTGCAGCTGCATTGGCAATAGTATCTCGGCCAAGACAATTACAGGAATGTTTGGGACCACCACCAGCCACTGTAGAAGTTTCTTTGCTTATATCAGATGATGATGATGGGTCTGCACTTGTTCTAGAAACAAAAAATGGAAATCTACCTACATTATGTGATATCAGTTGAGTTAAAGAGATGGACATGAATAAACCCACAGGTGACCAATCTAAATAATATTTAAAGTTGCAAGTATCAACATACTAGGTTGTGAAGCCCCAAAGAACAGATATGCAGGATAAAAGTCTTTGTCTTGTATATTACTCCACTTCCATGTCAAGAAGTCTTGTAGTGGCTTAGGAATCGAAAGCTTCAGATGAGAGGCTTCTGAAATTAATTGAATTTCCATTAATAAGTACACTAACGAAAGACCTATCACAACAATTCAGTGTTCAATATATTCCATCTCCATGCTTACATTATTATCAAAATGATGTAACAGGCTGGGGGGAGTAACATAATTGAAACAGTGTAATCTGAGATTGGAAAGTTGACAGGTAAGTCTGTTGAAGAAGCAGTTCTTTTACTAAAGTTGAGAAAATTTACAAGAATGCCACCTGGAGCTTTCCTCTGTATTTTCAATTGTAACTAGTCATAATGAAGATGTGTTGTAGATATATGGATGTTCAGTTTCAATGAAGTTCTTTTCCTTCTTCATTCTCTCTCAAGTTCCCTCTTCCTCTCTGATTTTCTCATTGGTTCACGGAATCTTAGATTACCCCAGGTAATCCTGCAGGGAGGTAATGTGAAATTTTGGAAATGTAAAATTACCTGATGTGTTTGGTTAAAGTTGTAGGAATGTAATATTAACTTCTTTGGTTGAAGGTTATATTTTAGATTCTATTACATCAATTACTTAAATGCCCTCAAGATTCTTCTTCTTCTTCTTCTACTACTACTACTACTAATAATAATAACAATAGAATGCGTACAAATGCAATTCAACATTTGATGGCAAGATGTTTCTTCTACTACTACTAATAATAATTACTACTACTACTACTAATAATAATAATAATAATAGAATGCGTACAGATGCAATTCACATTTGGTGTTTGATGAATTTATGAATAAAAGAGGAATAAATGAGGGCAACATTGGAATATTGAAAAGTAATATCACATTACCTAATAAAAATTTGGTAATGAGATTACCTCCAACATACCCACATTTCTTACGTGGTAATGTTGCATTACCTTCCATCTCAGATGACCTAAACCAAACATTAATCTAAGATTACCTTTCTCAGGTTACCAATGTAATCTGAGATCCCTTGAACCAAACGGCCCCTAATTAGGCATGACCGCGGTTCAAGTTAAGGAAATGGACGAACCGGTTCCAGTTAAAATTCACGGTTCCAATCCGTGGTTAGCACAGTACCGGTTACCGAACCGTGGTCACCTCTACCCCTAATTCTCTCAAAATCTAATCATTTACGATACATTCAGTTAAAATTTTTAAAATTTCCTTTTTCCTATTCAATTTCCTACACTTTGATAGCAAATATGAACAAGGACGGAATAAGGATTTTTTTTTTTGGGGGGGGGGGGGGGTGACGAGGAAGCAAAGGTAAAATGAGACACAATCCTCACATTCACTGCCTCTAGCTCACTGCACATAATCCTCACATTCAATTGAACAAATTGAGGCACAAAATCACAATTCACAAATTGAACAAACTGACCTTATTCATTTATTCTAAAACCACAAGCTAAAACCATTATTTATTTATTCTATGCCATTCTGCCATGCCATTTATAGCAAACTGCTCACATTCATTGAATCATTGATTCATAATTCATAAACAAATTAAAAATTGAACAAAGCACATATATTAAATTGATTAAAAATAAAACTAGACAAAAATCAAAAAACTGAACTGGCGAACTGCAGACTGCTCACATTCATTGAATGATTTGAATCATTGATTCATAATTCATAAACAAATTACAAATTGAACAAAGCACATACATTAAATTGATTAAAAATAAAATTAGAGAAGTTAAGGATTTAGGGCAAAAATATGAACCTGAGAAGAGACGAGACGCTGAGAAGAGACGAAATGCTGAGGTGCCGAGGCGGCGTTCCTGCTGTCCTTCCGGTAAGACGGGGAGCCAGTACTCTGGTAGGCTGGACGGAAGATACAGCGACCAGTGAGGTGAGAGGCTACGAAGGAGAGGCTCTAGCAGAGAGACGAAGAGTTCTGCCCCCAGCAAATGTGAAATAAGGAAGAAAAATAAGTTATATATAACACAGGGCTGTATCATTTTTGGCAGTGGAGCAGCTGCCCCAGGGCTAGCTCCGTCTCTGAATATGAACATATAAGGGGGGAAAATAACAAAAATTAATTGATTCGAAGAAACATTTGAAAGCTTACTTGAATTAGTATCACTAGTCGCGCAATTTATCAGTACAGACCCTGCAACCGCCCCAGCAACAACTCCCACGATTGATTTCTTATCGCGAATCGCAATTTTTCTCTGTAAAATAAAACAATGAGGTCACATTCAAATGACTAATGCAGTTAACGCTAGCGCATCTCCTCTGCAAACTTTAGGTTGTTATTTTTTTCTGCGAGAAAATGTAAAATCACTGCAAATGCACCGATATTTCCAGTACCAGAAGGTAACTCATGTCTGCTGCACTTCAACAATCCTCGAGATTTCTTGCTCTAACAAGTTGATCAGTTCGTTACACCATAAACCCTTCCATAAAATCCTAGCATCCAAGCTTTTCTAAGAGTCCCTCCAACTTGGAGAAGAAGAAACTGAAATTTTATAGGAATTCACTTCAACATGGGCTTATTCCAAGCCCACTTCGCCATTTCCTCGGCCCATTATCAAAATTTTAGGCCTCTTTTATCAATTAAAATTGTACTTTTTTCCCACAATTTCTCTACTTTCATTATTCATAGAAAACAAAGAGTAAATACTCAAAATGATCCCTCGACTATAGCTAAATTTATAAATTGGTCCTTGACTTTTAATTTCAACTAATTAAGTCCTTAATTTTGCAATTTTAACACAATTTGGTCATTTGTCTATTTGACAGTTTGTTGATTGCACTTTTTTAGAATATATATGTAATTTCATGGTCTATCGTCGGTTTTTTAAGGTTCCGGTTGCATTTCTAAACCGCACTGTTACATTTGAATCCACTGTCGACATCGCACCCCATGCCGAAGAGATTATAGCTTTTGATAGATAGATCGCCGAAGTCCCTGGAGTGGCTTTTCGAGAAAGCTGTGACTCCAAGCGATGTAGGCAAGCTGAACCTGCTCGGGATCCCCAAGCAGCAAGCGGAGAAGCACTTCCCCCCTCCGAAACGGCATTGTCACCTCCAAGAGCGTTCTCTAAGCTGAACCGGCTCGTGATCCCCAAGCAGCAAGTAGAGAAACACCCCCCCCCCCCCCCCCCCCCTCTGAAACAACGATGTCACCTCCAAGAGCGTTCCTTTGAGCTTTGCACGTGAAACTACATATATATCCTCAAAGATTGCAGTCAACAAACGGTCAAATAGATGGAGGACCAAATCGTTTCAAAATTGCAAAGTTAAGGACTTAATTGGTTAAAATTGAAAGTCGATGACCAATTTGTGAATTTAGCTATAGTCGAGGGACCATTTTGGGTATTTACTCGAAAACAAAACTACAAAAGGTTGAAAACTAACTAAATTTTAGTTTAGTTAGTTTTCAAGCTTTTGAGTACATGAACTTGTAATTTAGTAGAACGATCAAAAAAATAAAAAACAATAACTACATTTTAGTACATGATCTTATAATTTAATGGCACAAAATTACTCTCTTAAATAAAAAATTATAAATTCAATCCCTTTAAAAAGCAATAATTATTATTTGTACTTAAGTATGTTAAGAAAATACATATGAACAAACACTATATAATAACAAAATCAATAATACTCAAAATATATATAATAATAAAAACTTTATTAACAATATAATATCTATCCATAATTACTTGTGATTTTTAAAAAAATTAAGTAGCCCTTAATAAAAGCCAAATTCCAGTTACCATATTTTCATGAAAAAAGATAATTTGATACCCAAATAATTTAAGCATTCACACTTTATTATGAACTGGTACTAAAATAATTTAAAAGTATAGAAATTAAATTTAAAAAAAAAAAAATTGAAAGAGAAACATCACCATGTTAATAAACCAAAATAAATTAAGGCACTTAGTACATCCTTAAAACAAGTACATTTTTCATTTTTGATACTACCAAACGCTGCTGCGATTACTACTTATCTAACGCTACATAAACATCCCTATTAGAGATCAAAAGCTAACCAGAGATTAGACAGCCCAATCCATATCCCATTATCCCATGGCCCATTTACATTAACGAAGTTAAACCAGTAATTTAAGCCTTCTTGGGAGACTTGGGAGTTTTTTGTGAAGCCTTTTCCTCGCTCGCAGCGGCTTTCTTCGGGAGCAGAACCGGGTTTATGTTGGGAAGAACACCGCCGGCTGCAATGGTGACTCCAGAAAGCAACTTCCCCAACTCCTCGTCGTTCCTGACGGCCAGGAGAACGTGCCTCGGGATAATCCTCGTCTTCTTGTTGTCGCGAGCCGCGTTTCCGGCCAATTCCAAAACCTAAAAACAACGGAACCGATTGATGAGATTAGTCAAACGCAATAGAGACATTTCCGGATCTAGAGAATGAAATGAGAATCGGAAAACTTCGCTTGATTCGTACCTCAGCAGCAAGGTATTCGAGGACGGCGGCGAGGTATACCGGAGCACCGGTACCGCAGCGCTGAGCGTAACGGCCTTTCTTAAGATACCGAGCGATACGGCCGACCGGAAACTGAAGGCCGGCCTTGATAGACTTCGTGACCGACTTCTTCCTCTCGCCGCCTTTCCTTCCTCCGGCGCCTTTGGTCGTCTTGCTCACCGCCTCCATTGATCGGATATTGATTCTGAACTCGAAAGTTGAAGAGATTTTGCTGAACAGTTGTGAAAAGATCTGAATGCTACAAGCTCTGGAATGGAGGTTAGGGGAAAACGCGTTTGGATATTTATAGTTACAGCGATGATTGCCACGCTGGCGATCCTAGTAGAGGGGAGATTTGTTTGTACGGTAGAGATTGCATCTAAAACGCTTACACTCTCTTGAATCCAACGGATTAAACGCCACGAGCTGGCGATCCGCGTGCTGCCACTTCTAAAAATAAAGCAAATGACATTTATGTACATGTGTTGGGGAAATTGGCCCTTTCCCCTTTGAAATGAGCGGGAAAGTTTAAGAGGGAATTTCACTATTCGCCAATTAATTAATATCATATCAGTAATTATGAGTGGCGGGAAATTTTAAGATTTATTTTCATTCACATTTACTAAATAAATGAAATTTTAAAAAATAAATAAATAAATAAATATGACATCTTTAAGCCATCATTTATGATTATGATGTTGATTTAATTTTATTTTTAAATAAAATTATATATTTAATCTCTTATATTATTTTAAAGACTACGTCGGTCATTTGTTAAACATATAAAAATTAGATTTATGTCAAAAATAATTGAGCTATTAAGTATGCACCGTATATATAATTAATCGGCAAAATGTTCATTTTCCTTTGAAAGTACCGTACTTCATATCATATTAGAGATGCTTTATAAAGTAAACAAAACAATTCAAAATTATGTCAACCATATAGTAACGGGGCGTTTGGTTGGGAGTAAGAAATTAGGGTGGAAAGAAATTACAATTCGGTGGGAAAAGAATAAGGTGGGAATAAAGTAGGAATTCAAATTACATTGTTTGGTATGGATGAATATAATTATTGGGTAGGGAATGAAAGAAGTGATATAAATACTAAAATGTCCTTGTGTAATAATAATAGTAGTAATAATTAAGGGTACTTTTGTCATTTCATTCTTTTTTTCTTTTCCCACAACCACCGAATTGCAATTCATAGGGGGGTGCCCATGAATTGCAATTCAGCAAAAGGAGGGAATTGCAATTCCTGCAATTCCCTCCAACCAAACAGCGTAATTATGACTTCCACTGAATTGCAATTCAACTACAGCCAAATTACGCCCAACCAAACAGGCCATAATAGCTTGCAATGAGTGTGAGCCTGATGAGATTTAAATAGTAGAATACAATACATAATGAACTATAAATTTAGGAGTTTTTTGCAGTTTTGGTCCCACGACAATAGTGTCACTAACAACTTTAATCCACGACTATTTAAACTTACAGAATTGGTCCACGACTATTTAAACTTACAGAATTGGTCCACGACTATTACTTTCTTAGCAAAAATAGTCCTTCCGACGAACTTTCCGTCAAATTTTCACCGGAATTTTTTTTTTATCCTTTTTCACAAGGATATAATGGTCTTTTCATTTATCTAAACGAATGACCTAAATAATAAAAATAATAATGATAATAATAATAATAATAATAATAATAATAATAATAATAATAATAATAATAAAATGATAAACTTAAGCTCAGATTACACAGTACACTTTTACCATCATTCTCACTTAAACTTGAACTTCTCTCCTTCAAGAAAGCAGTTAATCATTATTTTAAAATAGGTAAAAGAGGGAGAATGAGGGTAAAAGTTTACTCTTTGCCTAATCTGAGTTTAACTTTATCATTTATTATTATTATTATTATTATTATTATTATTATTATTATTATTATTTAGGTCAGTAGTTTAGGTAAATGAAAAGATCATTATACTTTTGTGAAAAAGGAGAAAAAAATTCCCAGTGAAAAATTGACGAAAAGTTCGCCGAAAGGACTATTTTTGCTAAGAAAGTAATAGTCACGGACCAATTTTACAAATTTTAAAAGTTGTGGATCAAAATTGTTAGTGACACTATAGTCGTGGGACCAAAATTGCAAAAAACTCATAAAAATTTTAGTAATTTAGTACGCAAGATGAAAAGTACAGTGTACTAAAATGTGACTATCATTTTGTTCGTGACAAAATGTCAAAGAAGGAGTTACAGGTTAATTTTATTCCACTAAGGAATAGCTCGTTGATGTGTTCACCAAAGCTCTGCCTGGTCCGCGTTTTGCTACTCTATGTGACAAGCTCAATGTTGTTTCCTATCAACCTTGTGCTTGAGGGGGAGTATTAAGAGTCTATTATTATTAGTATTTGTCTTGTAGTAGGTTTGGTACTCATAGTTACATATAACCTTGTACAGACTTATTATTCATTTAATTCAGATATCTTATCTTCATCCTTAATAACCAAACATATTAACATGTTCATGATCACAAATCGTTAGTGAACAAGAAAATAATATATGTTCATGAAAAATAATCAAAGAAGTAACAGAACTACAAAGAGAATACAAATAAATATTAAACGAACACAAACGAGCTTATTCGCGAACATTATAAAACAAACACTAAATGAGCTTGTTCACGATCTCTTAGCAAACAAGCTTACAACTGTTCAGACTTTATTCCTTTATAAACCGAGCACTAAATTTTGTTTGTTAATGCTCTGTTCGCTAACACCCCTATATGTAGTTTGTTTTGAGTATATATCTGAAATTGTTGCTGGGGTTTGAACCCAAATTCAAAGCTATTATGAATTAACCAATACTACATCGGATGCACATGTGTTACATAGTGTTATATATATATTGCATTCACATGTAAACCCTCTTAAAATACAAACTTGTGGACAAATATGGACCATAAGATTAGAGTAGATGAATGGTTTAGATTTAAGGGGGAAAAATTACTCCAGCACCCTAATTAATAATTAAAAGGACACTTATGACAATTACATTGTATCCTAATTATGGTAAAAATATGAATATGATATGTATCCTAAATTAAAGAAGAGTAGATATAGAAGGATTAAACAACTACAAACGCAACCCACCACCAACGAGAATCCCCCCCCCCCCCCCTACGGCAAAGAGAATACAAAAGCGATTCTCTGGCATAGCACCGCGGCGGAAATTATGGATGCAAATTTGGGGTTTATGTCGTCTTCACTACAAGGTAAACATCTCAAATTGATTATCATAGCTTAATGACAGTGTGTGATGAATTATCAAACTGTATTTGCATTACTATATGTATGATTTAGTATAAATAATGTGAATAGAATAATAATATAAGAAATTGGTGAACATGTATGCGTATAAGAGCATTCGAAAACCCTAATGATGAGCACAGGTTTAAGATTATGTTTTGGGATGGAAAAAGGTGCCATTTGGCCACCACGCACACAGTTCGATTGTGTGATGCACACACTCCAGAACCCCCATAGGGTTGAAATAACGAACAGACACCTTAGGCAGTGAATAAACCACGAAATATGCGATTATGCAACCATGCACACAGTGAATTCAATGTTGTTCACATTCTAAGCAAAAGTGAATGAATAGGATCAGTTTAGGTGCCAAATTTTAGGCGTCAGATAATGAAGCATGATGTATAGACCAGAATGTTAATATATTAACAGTGCACACAGAAATAGGAGGCTAGGCACACATGTGTGACCAATGGCTGCTCCCACTGCCCCCTCCCTAATTTAACTTTTAATACAATATAAATATAAGATTTATTAAGGGGTTTAGTGGTCTGGTTGGTAGAAATATTAGGTTGTTTATGGTAGGTTATGGGATCAATTCCCACTAGTAGTGTATTTTTAGTTTTTTAGTCATTCCAATCCTATTGTATTTTTAGTTTCTTTTCTTTATTTTAACCCTTTCAATCATTCAATAAATTAAATATTTTTAAGTCTACTTTTTTGTGAATCATTTAGTTAATGTAGTCCGCAAGTTTATATTATACTTCATTGTATTCGAATTAATTTAGAAAAATTAAAAGTTGATATAACTAAAAGAAAATTAAAATTAAAGTATTTATGAATATACTATCTTTTCTATTCAAACTATTTTTTCTAATCAATTGTGTTTCATATATTTTATAGCATTTCAAATTGTTTTAATATTTAACCCTACCCAAGTATAGTTTTGGCTCCGTCCTTAACTATCTTGTCGTCTATCATAAATATTATTGTATTATAATTTATAATCTATTTGAACCATATTATAGATGTTTGACAAAATTGTGGAAGATGCAATTTTTTCTTAGAAGTGAGATCTAGAGTTAAGTATGTCCCCACTCACATTATTTTCTAGATCCGCCACTGTGTGTGACTAAAGCAATGGTAAACTCAAGCCATGGTACCAAGCTATTTATATGCCCCAAAAATTTACAATGCACAGAGCCAATATATTTAGCACACACACATCAAGCATATCTGGATTGTGAACTCTACTGACTAAAAATATGTTCCACGCACACACCTATGGGAGTCTGTGCACGCATGTATGAAGTATGAAACGTATGTGCGCTGAAGGGACACAGTGTGTGCACATGTTCAATTTGTATGCACGGCAATTGCCGATGCATCATGTAATGTTCTTATAATAATGTTTATTTGGTTAACAGGCGAAGAGCATGCAATCTTTGATTGAAAGACTAGTTGGATCAACTATACCGCGAGAAATACACATAAAAGCACCCAGAGTTGCAAAGAATAAAGGTAGTGGGAAGAGACTCAAAAGCAACAAAGAAAAATCTGCCAATAAGAAGAAAAAAGCGAGACGGATGTGCCATACATATGACCTACAAGGCCATGATAGCTGCAATTGTCCAGACAAAATAGCACCATCCGAAGATTAGACTCCCTTTGTTAGCAAGAGGAATGTAGTATCTTGTTTTTGAAATATTAAGAGAATTGTTTTAAGACCATATCATTTGTTTATTAAAATAACTAATAAGTGAATAATATGATAGCTACAGTTTGTGGTTCGTAATTTTGTATGAACAATGTTACGAGCAGATATAGATAATGCATGTCGTGCACACGATTTTAGAGTACATGTGCACACAGGTGCGTTATGGCAACTAGTGCGCACGCATTTACAACCGTATGTTACAATTATTATTACAGAACTGATCACAACATATGGGATAATGTTGACAGAATTGAACAAGTTAGGAGTGTGACATATGTTATAGTGTTAGCAGAAATGAATGAGTTATGTGTGCGACCTATTTTATAATGCTTGCTGAAAATTCTCAAATATAAATTGGTATGGTTTCGAATATGATGCTCATCAGGGGAAGCACACACCGATAGTCATATGTGCATGCATACTACACTTAGTCATGGAAGTAGAAAACACATAGGACAATGGCACACACTTGCATGCTGATGTGCACACGGGTTCACAATGTATAAACTAGTGCAGAACACCCGTTACAGCTGGATAGCAATAACCAAAACCATAGTCTATAAGCAAGTAAATCCATAGTCTAGAAGGTCAAGGGTGGCGACACAAAGTTATCGCCACTTATGCACATAGGTATGATTTGGAGTGCACACATAGACGAACAAAGAACATTAATCGTCTTGCAGTTGGCTTAGTACACACAATTCAATGTGTTTGTGCGCATGATGTTTTCGGATTACAACATCTGTTCATTAATGCGATTCAGTGGGTGCACATGTACCTAAATTACATATACTGCAATTATGCAAAAGGAAATGTATTCTAAAGTTGTCTTGCATAGGAGGAATGCACAAAATTCTGCACATGTATACACAAATGTGCCCACTATGAACACAAAAAAAAAAAAAAAAAAAAAAAAAAAAAAAAAAAAAAAAAAAAAAAACAACAACAACAACATAAACATAGGCATTTACAAGCCGTCATCCGTGAGCAAAAAATGTGTGATATATAACATTGTCAACAAAAATCTGCAATGTGAAATAGGCGCATACTGTAGCTGAATAAAACGTAAAGAATAAACATCAAACACCTACAAAGGGCGTTTAAAATTTAACGACGACGGCAGATGGCGACCTAATCTTCAACCTAGGAAACGTCGCATCCTCTTCTGCAATAAGCTCATGGTCAGGGGCATTCAAGCACCGAGGCACCAGGTTGAGACTGAGATACCTTTACCTTCTTACCTGCAACAAACAGACAACAACAACAAAAACACAGATCGGTATATTAACCAACACCAGTACCACCAGAACAACGAATTTGAACATCCCATATACCAGCCCAAAAAAACAAAAAAGTAAGGGTTGCACCCAGTCGCACAAAACAGTGCACACGGACACTACGAATTAAAATAATCTGAAATGCATGAGCTGAAGATCTAGTTAGCGTTGTGCACACGAGTGCACACACCTGCAAAACACACGCCAGTAACACAACCAAAGCCAAAAACATCTACTCTTTGTTTAACCTAGTGAAATATGTAAGGCCGACCTTTTTTGGAGCTAAAAATATTCACACTGCTCTGTATGTAGTAGTACTTTTTTTCTTATGGGAAGTTTGTTATTTTTCTCTTAATCAGACTTTAACTAAGTGTTATCTATTTTATATATTTTCAATGATACATAGATACATACACACAGCACACCCAAATCAGACAACTCCCAAAAATCAAGTGAGAGCATTTCTTGACTGTAAAATGATTTTAACAATACAAACACCACACTACATGAACGGTGAACCAACTAGTACCTAAAAACGACACACAACCCAGACAAAACAATGTGGAAAATAAAATGACCAAAATCCACCCTAAAAGTGCAAGATTGAACAAAAAAACACAGAACAAATACGGCAAAATAATAGAAAATGAAAAAAAAAAACTAAATAAACAATCACACTGATTCAACCCATCAATTTTAAATAAATAGCAAACAAAAGACATGCAAAACCATGAAAAAACTCGAGACCCGAGAATTGACAAAACGTTGGCACAAGAAACGGAAACACAAACTAACCCCTGAAGAGATTCAGCAAAAGAAAAAAAAAAAAATCCCTAACCAAACAATTTTCGGCCAAAATCCGGCAAACCCACACCACCCTAACCACAAAAACCGACTACGTCGTTGAGAACAGTACATAATCCGAACGAAAACAAGGCCACAAACAGAAAACACCAAAAAACGAAAAAATTTCAAAAATCGCCAAAAGGGGATAAAAAAAAATACCTCGGCCGCCACCACGAGCAGGTGGTCCCCGACGCTTGGCTCTCCTACGATCCCCACAGACGACCATGGCTAAGTGTATAACGACGTTGGAGTGAATAGCACACGATGCGATGATAGAACGTCATCGACACACACACCTGTGATGAAGAGAGAGAGACCCGAATACAATACAAAAAAAAAACTGGGCGCGTGAAGAATACATACACGGCTCACGGCTCCCACTAGGTTAATACGCGACAAAAAGGACAAAATTACCCCCTATGTAAAAATACAAACTGACGAGGGGAGATAAAAAGTCAATAATTAACACTCCAATCCTGACCGCCCAACCCTAACATCTAACGGTGCTAACTAATCCGCATGTTTTTATTTTAAGAGCTGTTTGTACCTGAATGTATTTCTATATATATATATATATATATATATATATATATATATATATATATATAATATAATATAATATAATATAAAATCTCCGCTGCTCTGGGGTTCGAACCAATATTCAAATCAATTGTGGATAAGCCAATGAAAGTAACATGTGGGATTTTATAATCTGTTTTATTGTTATTTATTTATTTATTTTGAAACGGACACTAAAGCCACTGCATTAAATCAAGAAGAACACCCTCCCAATAAGAAGGGTCATCACTATAAGCAATTGTTGTAATAAGACCATCTCCAACCTTCTCGCCATTTCACCAAACCTCCATCATATTTGGCGTGAAATACCCCCCCCCCCCCCCCCCCAAACCTTCTCGCCATATTTGGTGCAACACTGTTCACATTGCGTCAAATCTGACTTGTTATTATTATTTTTTCATTTTGACCCCTCCTCTTTTTTTAATTCTTTTTGTTTTGTTTTTGTTTTTTTTGTTTTAATATATTTGTATATTTTGTTAAATTGTTAACTATAAATTTTATATTATTAAAAATAAATTATATCATTTGAAAGTTATCATCAAGACGATTAAAACAAGTCTAATATTGAACATAGATTAATTAAAAATGAAAACACATAAAGCACAATTATAACAAAATTAAAGCAAATTACATACTTAATTCAAAGCAAACACATAAAGCTTAATTAAAACTACTTTTTTTGTTTTTTGATAAGCCACGTAACCAAATTTCATTAAAACAAGTGCTCAGTAAGAAAGTAAACCAAATAAGAGGATCAGGTTGCGAACGTGCCGCCCTAGCTAATGCATGAGCAGCTATATTCACTGATCTCGAAACATACTGAATAGACACCATATCAAAGTGTTGTTGTAGATCCCGGCATTCACTCGGAATACAGCCTGCATAGGTATAGTCTGGTAAGGAGCCTTTAAGCAACTTACATATCATTTGACAATCAGAGTGTATTCTTATTTTTAAAATACCCCTCTCCTTGGCCCAGGAGAGAGCTTCCTTGATAGCTATGGCCTCAACTAAATGAACATCATCCATGCATCGTACCTGGCCATTCTTCGCTGCCACAAAGCTACCATTTGCTTGTGTAATCACAACACCGTAGCTAGCCTTGTGTGCGGCTGGAAAAACCGCTGCGTCCACATAGATCATTAGAGTATCTGCTGGCACTGAATTTGGCACAGATGAATTCAATAATCTCCTAGGTCAGCATCATAAATTGTATATTATTATTAATATAAACTTATATCATTTGAAAGAAATACGATTAAAACAAAACTAATATTAAATATAATTTAATTAAAAATAAAATTACATACAATATAATTAAAGTTTAATTTATTAAATGACAACTATTAATTTTGTTAAAATAATAAAAGTATAAATATAAACTTTATGAGGGTGTAGGAATAAAATTTGGTGCAGAATTTGTAATGGGTTAGAGATAAAAAAAATTTGGTATAAGAATATGCTGAGAATATTCTTTATGGTGTAAAATTTGGTGCAGAATTTGGTGTAGATGGTAGGAGATGGTCTAAGAGCATGAACAATTTGATTCGCAGATTGACTAATGAGAACTATACGACATGACCCTAACAAGCTCAAAGTAGAACGACAATTGTTTACGACTGACCCAACATAAGAAAGACAATACTACCTGCCCGTGAGGGCATAAACAAGATTCAAACAATCAGATTCAAAATGAATGTTTAATAACAATTTATCCTTCAATTACAAAAGGGCCTCCCTACAAGTCATTGCTTTTGCCATGAAATCACCATTCGCTGCTACAACCCATGCACCATATGTATCTGAAAACCGCCGTACATTGCTGAACGTATTGCCGTAGTCTTCCATATGAACCAGATTTTGATGAAAATAACATACCTACTAAAGTTAGACTAATCCAAATAATTACCTGAATATTGTAAGAATGAAATAAATGACCTATTAGAAAAGAAAGTTATTAGGAAAAGCAAGTCATCATGGTCATGTTCAACTTTTTATGTTCAAAAAATGTCAAAATTGAGAGGGAAGCTACCAAGTTAGTTATAAATTATAAAACATTAAATACAATTTTAAGATGGATTAGATACTCTAACCCTAATAAACACGACTTATTAGGAATATATGGTAAAGAGGGTTAGACCTTTAATACAAGCTTTGAAGGGCTAACTGGAATAACGGCTACAAACAAATAAGTTTATGTTTATCTTAACTAGTTAACTAGTAGTTATGTCGCAGACTTTGCAGAGTCTTGAACCTGAATTCAAATTAAACAATTAATTAAGAATTAACTAGTGCTACAATGGAACTGATCATGTTTCATGATTTAATTTTAATGTATATACGAATAACTAAACTACCAAACTAAGTTTAAACATTACAAACATTTTCGTTGCTAGACTTCAAACCTGGATTCAAATTAATTAAGAAGCATTTATTGCTACAACTAAACTGATCATACTTCATGGTTTACTTTTAATTTATATACGAATAACTAAATTACCAAAATAAAGAAAAAAATAATTAAGAATTAGCCAGGGCTACAACAAAAGAAATTGTGTTATGTAGCATATTTTAAGTATATATCTAATCAATTTACTGAAATAAGTAAACAACAAAAAGATTTAGCCTATTTTAAGTATATATCTAATCAATTTACTGAAATAAGTAAACAACAAAAAGATTTCCGCTGCTGGGGTTCGAACCCAGATTCAATGCAATTTTGAATTAACCAGTGCTACAGCGCACGCAATTGTGTTTTGTAGTGTGTTTTAATTGTATTTAGTGACTATGGTTGTATTCGGCCTAATTTAAATTTGGGCCCTTAGCTTTCAGTGTGTATTTTGGGCCACAAATCCTGGCATGGATTTAATATGGCTGAAATGTTTTGAGCCGTGTAGGGCTTGAAGCAATCGTTATGCGTTGGACCCGTGTCCAGCATGCTTGCTGAACACGGGTAACAGTGTCGTTAGGCACTGTTATATTCTTCTTCTTCTTTTTTTTTTTTTTTTTTTTTTTTTTTTTTTTTTTTTTTAATTTCAGACCGCTTCGTTATAGGAGTATATGTTCATAATTTTATTACTATATGTTAATAACTGTACATTTATAACTCCATAACTGTACGTTCATAACTCTATAACTGTACATTCATAACTTCATAAGTGTACATTCATAACTCTATAACTGTACATTCATAACTCCATAATTGTATATTCATAATTTTCGAAGCTCTATGTTCACAATTTTAGAGCTCTATGTTCATAATTTTATCACTATATGTTCATAATTGTAAGTTCATAATGTTAGAGCTCTTTGTTCATAATTCGATCAATAACTGTACATTCATAATTCCATACTGTAGATTCATATCTCATAACTGTAGATTCATAACTCCATAACTGTAGATTCATAACTCTATAACTGTACATTCATAACTCCATAACTGTACATTCATAATCTTCGAAGCTCTATATTCACAATTTTAAAGCTCCATGGTCATAATTTTATCACTATATATGTTCATAATTGCAAGTTCATAATGTTAGAGCTCTGTGTTCATAATTTCATAATTGCATAACTGTAGATTCATAACGGCATAACTGTACATTCATAATGGCATAACTGTACATTCATAATCCAAAAAAAAAAAAAAAAAAAAACGCCGTTAACGGCAAAACGTGCGCGATTTTTATTTTTTTTAACTAAATGACGCGTTTTTTTTTTTTTTTGAAAAACGACGTCGTTTTGGGCCCGTGTCCACAATTTATTGTGGACACGGGTCCAGGGCATAATTTGCCGGCTTGAAGATTTCGGCAAATTATGCTGTGCAATCGTGTGCACTATGTATGGTGGTGTATGGTGCACATGGGTCTAAATTCATAATTTTTATAATGTAGATTCATAAAATTTATACTATAGATTTATAATTTTATAAATATATGTTCATAATTATAGAGCTATATGTTCATATCCTCAATTGTTGAACTTTGTATTCACTATTCACAAATCACATAATTATATGTTCATATTTTGATAACTATAAAGTTTAGAAATTATGAATCTACAATACAGATATTATGAATCTACAATACAGAAATTATGAATCTACGGTTTAGAAATTATGAATCTACAGTATAACTTTTATAAATTTACAGTATAAAAATTATGAATTTAGACCTGTGTATCCCATGCATGGTGCACACGGTTACACTGCATAACCCATTTTGCACCTAGTGTGGTATGGCCCGCTTCCACACGGCCCAAGTATGCCCTTTGTTTTTCATTGAACTTTTCATTGTATGCTGATCTCCCAAGTTTGGGCCGGGGTATACCCCGCGTAATTGTACTTTGTAACCATTATTTGGTTCGGGTGCAGGGCTTTGCCCCGCTCCCTTGAGAATTATATTTACATTAAACCCAAAAAAAAAGTTTATATAGCCAACTAGTATTTGCCCCAATAGTTATGCTGTGCAACTGAATGTACCATACGCATGGTGCATACGATGCAAAACGACGTCGTTTTGACTAAAAACGCGTGTTTCATTTAAAAAAAAAAATCAAGTTCGATTCTCGGCAATAGCATTATTATGGATATATAGTTATGAATTTCTGGATATATAGTTATGAATTTATGGATATTTAGTTCATTCATTGTAGATATTTACTTCATTCATTCACTGTAGATATATAGTTATGAATTTATGGATATATAGTTATGAATTTCTGGATATATAGTTATGAATTTATGGATAT